CATGAATTAAATTTAGAAATATTGACAAAATACAAATAGTAAGACTGCATTTGAAAATATTTATATAGTGTATATATATTGACACACAGGGAGGTTTAGGTTGAATATTGGGAATATTCCCTCACTGAAAGGGTCATCCAGCCCTGGCTGGGGTGGATTCTCCATCCCTGGAGGGATTTAACAGCCATGTGGATGTGGCACTTGTGGACATGTGTTTACTGGTGGCCTTGGCGGTGCTGAGGGATGGTTGGACTCAATGGTCTTGGAGGTTTTTCCAACCTCAGTGTGATTCCATGAATCCATGATGTATCTCAACACATCTGTTTCTCAGAAAAACCATTAATTTTGTGTGGTTTACAAACTCTGTTCAGACGCACTTACCTTATATCCTGCAATCAGAGCTAAGTGTATTACAAGGGACTGGGCAGAAAACTGGCCACCAACAAAATGCACTAAAGACTTCCAGCCATTTAGATAACTCATCTCTCAAGATTACATACCGTACCTTTTTCTAAGCTTCTCCAAAATTTTTGACTTGCTTACTTTTGGACTTGAATTTCATGTGTTGATCCTTTCAGTACTTTAGGACAGGAAATTGCTGGACTGACCAAATGCTTGTGCCATGCAGGACCAAATACATTGATGATGTGATTTCTCTTTATATATAAAAATTTACATATATTCTTACCAGAAACAGAGGCAAATTCCCACTATCTATTTAGTCCAGGTCTGCTTTACTCCTAAGGTCTATATCATCCTTTATCATCCATCCCACTTCTTAAGTTCTCATTTTATTTACATGGCTTAAGAACCTTTCACTATGTTTCAGGCTTCTGTGCAAGTTTTGGTTTCACAAGATTTCTGACCATTCTCAGCTTGGTTTTACAGTTTCAAATTATTGATGCAGATGTCTTCTTGCTAAACAGTATCTCTTTTCCATTCTTTTTAGGTTTTGTGCTTACTCTTAATAACTTGCTTAAGGTTGCTACCTTCTGGGAATTCTTTTTCATCCCTGTTTAGGAGGGCTATTTTGTTTCTTTCCCTATTCTCCAGTGCAAACATTCAATAACATTAGTTTTGGGTTTTTTCCCCATACAGTATGTTATCTGAATTTTTTTTCCCCCATACTGTGTTATCTGAATTCTACTTCCAGTACTGCTCACTAGAATTTTTTCCTTTTGTTTGCCATTCTGAAACACTGGACTGCTGTTACAGACCCTTCACATTCTTCAATCTCACAACTTCACATGAAGCAGAAAAGCTCAAACCCATCACATTTAAGATTATTTTCTATCATTTTTCCTGTAGATCCTATCATTTACTAAGATTTAGTCTAAGTTATCCTTGCCTCTTTCTTGCTCAGTGTCTGTTCCATAAAGAAGCTATCTTCTATAATATTCAAAATCTCATCATCCCCAGCATCACTGGTTGAACTTTTTGCTGATATTTACCCACGTGTGATCACACAGATTTGCATAATCACACAATCTTAACTTTTGCTTCCCCCACTTTGTTTGTAGGTGCTATCATCCAGATCAAATTTGTACCAGCAGATTCACAATAAATTGCATCCCTATTAAGCACTTTTCCTACCCTTTCCTCAGTGATTTTCATTCAAATGGACAGTATGTCATCTTCACCCTCAAATTTAACATTTTTATTGCACTGTTGTTTAACAGTCTTCACTCCTTAATATGTTTTACTGCATGAATTAAACAAGGAGTGTCCATCCTTCTGTTCCAGTATATTTCACTTAATGACTTTGGAACCTCCATATTCCTGTTTTCCCATATCTGGTTTCACATGCTAGATCAACTGTTCCTGCCACTGTCATTAGCGGAAGTACTATAGAATATGGGTAGATCTGTACACTTAAAAGTTGTTATACATGTAATGCATGTATGCCCCATATCCTTTTATTTATCTAGTTTTTCTGTTGTTCCATCTTCACTCAGGTCCCTCTATTTTTATTCCATGTGAGGGTCATATGAGTTATTTCCAACTTTCCTCCTGAGTATTTCAGTTTAAAGGCTTTTAGGATTTCCCAGTTTAATGAAACGTAGACAAAGATAAATTAGCAAGAGGCAGTACTATAATACTAAAAGCATCTTTATTTCTCATAAATTTAGCAGCATTTATTGTTTGATTTTGTGTGCTTCAGTTTATAGTGGCATTTCCAGTTCAACATTCAGATGTAACTTTTCACTGTCAGAAATACTTTTGGACTTGCAAACTCCATTCAAATTAGAATTAGACTCCATTCAAATGGAGTCTAATTCCGATTCCAGTACACAATATAGAGCTGTGTTCTCTCATACTAGTCATACATATTGAAATAAATATTCTGAAAAACTCTACAGAATTTTAAGGTCTATTATGAAAAATATACTGTTAATCAGAATAAGAATGAATGGGCAACAGCATGATACTTCTACACTAATAAATATTTAAATATCATGCATGCTACTAAAACAACCTAGCAGTCTAACAAGTCACAAGTAAGATTTCATTAAATCAGGTTTTCTATTTATTATGCATTTTAATATCTAATTAGTACAGGATCAGAACAATTAAACTGAAATGTGTCTCCAATATTGACTTTTACATGATAGCTTTTAACATGATTCTGGTCTTATGAAATGACAGATTCTCCAGAACAGTTTCATTGGAAGAGTTAAGCTCAGCCTAGCTGACAAGGTAATTAAAAATATCTTTCTCTGTTATTAATAAAAAAAGTATTTACATGTGTCTAATTTTGTGTCAGAGAGAAAAATAGCATAGAAACACAGGCAGATGCTATAAATGTGACAGACCTAAAAAAATGCAAGCATATATGCATAAACCCCCATTTATTCAAAATGTAGAATTATTAATTCAAAACAAAGATGTTTTTCGAAAATAGTGAGGCCATAAGAAACTCCTGTTAGACATCTCTGTTTACTATCTGTGAATTCTTTTTGTTCCACTATTGTAAATTCCATGTTGAATATTAGAAAAGCTTAAGAGAGTATATGTAAGGGGGGAAGGAAAAGTACCTAGTGTGGTTTGGTAATTTTTTCCTGACTAAAAGTAGCACCTTGAAACTCCCTCTAAAGCCATTCAAAACCCTCCACTAAATTAATTGGTTTTGCATCAAAATGGGAATGTCAGTGATCCTTTAAGAATTTAAGTAAGTACTTTGTCCCACTGAAAAGATTTCCAAAGGCTTCTACAAGGTCAGGAAAATTACCTGGTCCATATTAAAAAAAATTTGTCTTTCATTCAAATACAAGATCTCGCTTATTTCAGGCCTAGGGAAAGAGGATTTGAGTCACACGCCTTTTATGTTTGCAAAGAAGAAAAATATGCCTTTTGGGGAAGGCTGAGCATTAAGAAAAAGATAATTCTTTACAATCATCTCTGGGTTTAGCATGTTAAGATGAGTTAACAGAGGTCTGCTGAAGATATACATGTACTGAAATCACACAACATTTACAGAACATTGTTCAGTGTCTAGAATCAGACAATAAAACCCACGAAGGCACAACCACATCTAGCATTACCTTTGAGTTAAAGCTCGATTCCAACCTCTGTACTGTGCACATGGGATGTACTCCATGTGTTCCTGTATGCATAACACTTATTCGACTTACGTACCGCAATCTATAGAGCCTACAGCAGTAATGAATACACAAATGTGACCATGTGTACATATTCGACCGTAAGTAATTAAATTACTTTTTCCTAATTTTTTTTTTTAATCAGCCAAACACGCAATTTGACGGAAAATAAAAACCGAAATCTAACCCGAAAAAATCCATCACGACTGCTAGCCAGCCAGTGCTGCCCTCTGTGTTCCAGAGCACACGGGATAAAGCCGGTGATCCCACCGGCAACAAGAGGAACGCGGCTCTCACGACGCCGCCTTCGTCGGGCACAGCCCGCGGAGCGGCCCCGCGCGGCCCATCCGCCGCCCTGCGCTGCCACCTGGCGGCGGCGGGAGGCGCCGCACCGCGCCGGGGCTGATGCCCGCGCCCGCCTGGAGCGCGACCGCGGGGAGCGGCCCGGGCGGGATGCAAGGCGGCCGCACAGTCGCTTAGTTTGCTGCGGCTGCACCCGCGCCCCGGCCCCCTCGGCGCCCCGGCCCCTCGGCGCCCCGGCTCCTCCGCGCCCCGCTGCTGGGGCGGGCAGAGGAGAAAACACAGACTGAACGGCCCCGGCACGCGCGCGCGCGTCTCCGGTTTCGCAGGATGCGCGTGGCGAAACCCGTCGCTTCGTTCCACCGCGACCACCCAATTCCCCGCGGTTTCCGCGAACGCAGCGTAGGCTCCTGCACAGCGAGCTCCCACGGCCGGGCCCCCGGCTCCCGCTACCCCCGCTGCTCCGCTCCAGCCGGCCGCGGCCAGCGAGCGCTGCGAGGAGGGCACGGGGCTGGCTGCGGACCACCGCCCCAGTGGGCTGGGGGCAGAGGGGGCGGTGTCCGCGGCGGCGGAACGCCGGGAAAGTTGGCCCGTGCTGGGGAAAGTGCGGAGGTGTGGCGGGGCGGGCGCCGCGCTCGTATCGGCATCTGTGTGCGCTGCGTGTGCCCGCGCCGTGCGTGCCCGTGCGGGCGGGGGGCGCGGCGCCCCAGGGCACCGGCGGCTGCTGCCGCCGCCGCCACCGCGCCGTCACCCGGGGACACCCGCCCCGGACCGCGGTCCCTTCCCTGCCGCCTGCCCGCGCCCCCGCTGCGCCCCCGCGCCGCCGCCCCGCCCCCGCTCCCCTCGCGCCGCCCTCCCACCGCGCGCAGCGGCGGCCGCACCGCACCGCACCGCGCCTCGCGCCGCCGGCCGCCCCCACCCCCGCTGGGCGGCCGCGCGCGCCGCAGCGCGCGTGCGTGGTGGGCGCGCCCCCGCGGCTGCCCGGGCACGCGCGAGCGCGCGTGTGTGTGTGTGTGTGAGTGGCGCGTGTGCGCGCCTGTGCGCGCGCCCCTGAGCGAGCGCCGTGTCTCGGCGCCGCCTGCGCGCGGGGGGAGCCCGCTCCGCTCCGCACCCACCGCCCCGGCCGCGCCGACACCGGCACCGACACCGACACCGCCGCGGGGAGGCTTCTTCATGGGCTGCCACCATGCTTGGGCCCTGGAGATTTCGGGCGAAGTAAGTACCGGGGTCGACTTTTTCTCTCGCTCCCTTTTCCCTCTTCTATTCCTCCCTTGCTCGCCCCCCGCACCCTTTCCCCGCCGGGTTTTAACTTGCTGTTGCTTTCCACCCCATCCCTCCCCCGCCCGCCTCGCCCCCGAAATCCACGTCTTCCAACTCGGGGTGCCGCTCAGTTGGGTGGCAGTGTCCGGCTGGGGTTGCTGGCTCGCTGCTGCTGTCGGCGGTACTGAAAGCTGCCTCCAGCCGGATATGCAGTGCGGTAAGCTAAGGGTTGAACTCTTCGGGGAAAAAAACCCACACACGCAAGAAAAATCCCGATGCAACCCCTTTCCTCTTCTCCCCTCCCCCACTGTGGCTCCCACCCCCACTTCCCCCATCCTCAATCTGAACCTCTGTAGGGAGCTGGCGAACAGCAGCACACAGTCACCACAGAGGGGTTTCCAGGGCGGGATTGCAACCTTGCATGTAGCCAGCTACAACTTTATTCTCTTTACCTCCCACCCCCTGCTTTTTTTTTTTTGAATTTTTTTTTTTTTTTTGTAAGAGAATGGGAGAAAGGAAGAGGGAAGGAAAATTGTATTTGCCTCCTTTTCTAACAATAATTTAATTAAAGTTGTAAAATTGCCTGGGAGTTTAACACTGACCGGCAGGTTTTTCAATGGCTTGTGTCTTCTTTTTCTTCTTTTCTACGAAGAACTGTTGGTTAATGGATGAATGGATCTGATCAAACTGAGAAAGAATATGCTAGATACATGCCTTTGAGTGAGATTTCTGATGCCTTTATGCAGTGAAGCCTTTTTGCTTTGAGTAATTCTGATCCAGTTGACGTCTGGTCAGAATTAGAGAGAGATTCACCGAGACTTCCGATTTCTTGCTGCATGACTGCCTTTGCTGCAAGTGCTAGATTTGCAGCCGTGAACCTGATGCCACAGGAGATGTCTTGCAGTACTGAGACTTCTCATTTTTTAGGATACCTTCCTCCAAATCAGAGTTGTGTCATGAGGATTGGAGCTCTGAGGTGGACTATAGAAAATGCAAACCTCCTCTAAGATCCCAGGATTTAAGCCTGATGATTTATTAGTCTTCCCTTACCGACACACAAAATGCATCTCTTTTCTCTATTCATATTGCTTTTAGACTAGTAGAAGAAAGACACAAGGAATCAGAAAGACTACAAGAAGGAAAGCAAAGGATTTGTTTCCAGCTAGGTGAAATTCAGGCATTAAATTACTGACGTAGGTCAATGGTAGGGTTTCCCTTCCACCCTCCTTGGCTTTTAATCAGCCTGGGTGTCTTCTCCCCTAAAGGATAAAGAGTACTGACAGCCATCGCTGCTTATAATCAGTAACTCTGATGCTTGGAGTGTTGGCAATGAGATATTTTCACGAGACCTATTTAGATCTCTCCACTTCTACCAGGCTAGTTTTGCAGAACATTGGGAATAAGCGCTATGTCAGATATGGATGAGACTCCGAAGATGATCTGCATGTTTTACATTTTTCACAAATTTTGGGTGAGTGGTTAAAATATTTCTTTTAAGAGTATGTGTGTATGTGTGTGTATGTGAGAGAGAACTAAAGACTTCTGCTTGAAATGAGCTCTGTTACATTGTGTATAACTTGAGGGGGGATCAAAAATCAATTAAAATTATTTGCTTGTGTAAAGATTACAAAATTTCTCTAATTGAAGAGAGCTGTTGAGTGCCCTGAAGTAGGAGGTTAACGTATTTAATCTCATTACAGAAGAATTCCTCCACAGAAGTCATCTGGGGGTGAGTGTGTGTGAGAATGTGTGTGTGTGTGTGTGCATGTCTGTGTGGGTGGGTGTGTGCTTTGTAAATGTATAGCTAGGAGTAAAAAACCTAACATAAAAGAGTTTTAAGAAATGTGTGATGGGGAGAATGTGTCAGTATTCTCTCTGTTGAATTAAGCTGCCGTTTTCAGCACTGAGCATTTGTCTTTGGATTCCTACCATGGTAGTTCCACCAACGGTTAAAAATCAAGGTAGAAGGAGGGGAAGACCTTGGTGCGCTGTTCACTGGGGAGGTTCTGAAGGGAAGGGGGAGCTGGGTAACAGGGGAGGTGGGAAACCTCGTAAAATGGTGTTCCTTTTCTCTTAAATTAGAAACGTGAAACTGAACTGACAGCCATTTTATGTATATTTATGGGGCTGGTCATGAAAAAAATCCAAGGAAGCATTGAAATGCACCCCACACAAACAGAACCAGAACAGTTCCTACTGTGACCTCACCGTTTTAAACACCGCAGGCATTTGACTCGCTAGGAGTTGCCTATCAACCCTTTAATCAATGCATGTCATCCAGTTTTCGGAAGTATGGGAATTAGAAGTGACAGGAGGTTTGTTTTTTTTGTTGATTAACAATCCATTCTCTACCCTATTGAAGACGTACATAAACTTTATTTCCATTTTAAATTTTACAGGGCTGTACTATTATGCTACTTTCTTTTTTTTTCTCCTTATCCTTACAGGAAATAAAATGTATGCTTGCTGCTCTACAGTAACTTTGGAACAGGACCTCAACAAAAAAATGCATATCTGGATGCTGCAGACGATCGCGTTTGCTTTAACATCGCTAGTCCTTTCGTGGGCAGAAAGCATCGAGTATTATGGGGAAATCTGTGATAATGCATGTCCTTGTGAGGAGAAGGACAGCATCTTAACAGTGAGCTGTGAAAACAGAGGGATCATCAGCCTTTTTGAGATCAGTCCACCAAGGTTCCCTGTCTACCATCTCTTGTTGTCTGGGAACCTTCTGAACAGGCTGTACCCAAACCAGTTTGTCAATTACACAGGGGCTTCGATTTTGCATCTGGGGAGCAATGACATACAAGACATCGAAACTGGGGCCTTTCGTGGTCTGAGAGGTTTAAGGAGGCTGCACTTGAACAATAACAAGTTGGAACTTCTACGGGATGACACCTTCCTTGGGCTAGAGAGTTTGGAATACCTACAGGTCGATTATAATTATATTAGCATCATTGAACCGAATGCCTTCAGCAAACTGCATTTGCTGCAGGTGCTGATTCTCAATGATAACCTCCTCTCCAGTTTGCCCAACAACCTTTTCCGTTTTGTGCCCTTAACTCACCTGGACCTGAGGGGTAACCGGCTGAAGCTGCTGCCCTATATGGGCCTCTTGCAGCATATGGATAAAGTGGTGGAGCTGCAGCTGGAGGAAAATCCCTGGAATTGCTCTTGTGAGTTGATTGCTCTAAAGGATTGGCTGGACAGTATCTCATACTCTGCTCTGGTGGGAGATGTAGTTTGTGAGACCCCTTTCCGCTTACATGGTCGAGACTTGGATGAAGTCTCCAAGCAGGAGCTTTGCCCCAGGAGGCTCATCTCTGATTATGAAATGAGACCTCAGACACCACTGAGCACCACAGGGTATTTCCACACAACCCCAGCCTCGGTCAACTCCGTGGCTACTTCTTCTTCAGCTGTTTACAAATCTCCCTTGAAGCCCCCCAAAGGGACCCGCCAACCCAACAAGCCAAGGGTGCGCCCCACCTCCCGCTTGCCCTCAAAAGACCTGGGATACAGCAACTATGGCCCCAGCATTGCCTACCAGACCAAATCCCCGGTGCCTTTGGAGTGCCCCACTGCCTGCACTTGCAACCTGCAGATTTCTGACCTGGGCCTCAATGTCAATTGTCAGGAGAGGAAGATTGAGAGCATTTCTGAACTGCAGCCCAAACCCTATAATCCTAAGAAGATGTATCTGACGGAAAACTACATTGCGCTGGTCCGCAGGGCAGATTTTGTGGATGCCACTGGGCTGGATTTGCTGCATCTGGGCAATAATCGGATCTCGGTCATTCAGGACCGGGCTTTTGGGGATTTAACTAATTTGCGAAGGCTGTACCTGAATGGGAACCGGATCGAGCGGCTCAGCCCAGAGCTCTTCTATGGGCTGCAAAGCCTGCAGTACCTCTTCCTGCAGTACAATGTCATCCGGGAGATAGAGGCAGGCACCTTTGAATCTGTCCCCAACCTTCAGCTCTTGTTTTTGAATAACAATCTGCTGAGGTCTTTGCCAGGGAACATTTTTTCTGGTCTCTCTCTCTACAGGCTGAGCCTGCGGAGCAACCACTTCTCCTACCTGCCAGTGAGCGGGGTGCTGGACCAGCTGAAATCCCTGCTGCAGATCGACCTGCACGAGAACCCTTGGGACTGCACCTGCGACGTGGTGGGCATGAAGCTGTGGCTGGAGCAGCTCAACACCGGTGTCCTGGTGGACCAGGTTATCTGCGAGTCCCCTAAGAAGTTTGCCCAGAGCGACATGCGGGCCGTCCGGGCGGAGCTGCTGTGCCCCGACTACTCGGATATCGTCGTCTCCACGCCCACGCCGTCCCCGGGCCAGCTGCCGGCCAGGACCACCCCCTCCTCCTCCACCGTGCGCCTCAATGGCACGGCGGCGGCGGGCGGCTCGGCGTCCGCGGGCGGCGCCGGCGGCGGCAGCTCCTCGGTGCCGCTCTCGGTGCTGATCCTCAGCCTGCTTCTGGTCTTCATCATGTCCGTCTTCGTGGCGGCAGGGCTCTTCGTCCTGGTGATGAAGCGGCGCAAGAAGGGCCAGGGCGACCACGCCAGCGCCAACAACTCCGACGTGAGCTCCTTCAACATGCAGTACAGCGTCTACAGCGGCGGCCACCACCACCACCACCACCCGCACCTGCAGCAGCACCCGCCCCACCGCGGCGGCGGGGCGGCGGCGGCGGGGGCGCGGCGCTGCCCAAGGTGAAGACCCCCGCCGGCCACGTCTACGAGTACATCCCGCACCCCCTGGGCCACATGTGCAAAAACCCCATCTACCGCTCCCGGGAGGGCAACTCGGGCGAGGATTACAAAGACCTTCACGAGCTCAAGGTCACCTACAGCAGCCACCCCCTGTCGCCCGGGGGGGGCGCGCCGCCGCCCCCGCCGCCCCCACCGCCGCCGGCGCCCGGCGGGGAGGACGCGCCCGGGCGCAGCCCCGCGTACAGCGTGAGCACCATCGAGCCGCGGGAGGAGCTGCTCTCCCCGGTGCAAGACGCCGATCGCTTTTACAGGGGCATTTTGGAGCCCGACAAACACTCCTCCTCCACGCTGGGCACTCCCAGCTCCACCCTCCCCGACTACCCCAAGCTCCCCGCCGCCTACACCTACTCCCCTAACTATGACCTTAGGCGTGCCCACCAGTACTTGCACCCGGGGCCGGGGGACAGCAGGCTCCGGGAGACGGTGCTTTACAGCCCCCCGAGTACTGTCTATGTAGAGCCCAACAGGAACGAGTACCTGGAGCTAAAAGCAAAACTAAACGCAGAGCCGGACTACCTCGAAGTGCTGGAAAAACAGACCACATTTAGCCAGTTCTGAGAAACAGCCCCCCTCCCCGTCCCCTCGCCAGTCTCAGCAGCTCCTTCTCTAGAGTATTTGTATTTAACAACCACACGCAAAACAAAGAAACGTAAATGCTGACCTCCCACCTCGCCCCCATCCTTTTTTCCCCCCTCTAATTCATTTTATTGTAGGGTGAAGTGCCTTGGCACAGGACTTTTCAGCTTCGGGGAATGATTCTGAAAGGGTGTGCTGTTCTGTTTAGTTTATTCTTTTTTCTTTTACTGTATTTGGAAGTCGGAAACCACCTGTTTTGTAAAATGGGCACAACACTGGCGTTGTGCGGGTGCCCACGTGTGCTTGGGGAAGGTGGCAGGAGGTTCTTGTCAGGTCATGTTCAGGTCACAAGTACAAAAGTCATGATCACTATTTTTTTTTTTTTTTTTTAACAGACATTGTTTATTTTGGGTTTATTTCTGGTTGAAGAGTACAGCGCACATTTTCCCCTTTTAGCCATGGGTGAGTCTAAATGGCTTTTTTGGAGAGATTAGCACACCCCGACTTTAATACAAGGTTTCCTTTTTATAAGGATGTGTTTGTATACTTTCTGGACTTTTGAATTCAAAAATATATTACGATCTTTAAAAGGATCACTGTAGATGTGGACAAATCATTAAAGAGTGCAGAGATATATGATCGATAACTGGTTAGTGAAAATAATTTATTGATGAAATATAAAAAAATATTTTATTGTAGCACCTATTTTTATATACACATTAGCATTTCTCTTTCCTTCACTATTTTAAGGCCTAATCCTGCAAATTCTTAACTCACTTGAGTATCTCTACTTGTGAAAGAAGTCCCAGCTTAGGCCTTCATCCTGCAGGCACTTAAGCACATGAACAACTTTACTAATGAGTGTGGTTTTCTAGACTCACTCATTGAGCAAAGTTAGTCAAAAGCCCAAAAAATTAGGATAGAGGATGCAGAACTATTCTTACAAGTAAAACTACTGGAATGTTTAAATGTTTTTCGTTTTGTTTGTTTGTTTTTTTTTAATTCAGGACGAGGTCCAAAGTCTCTGTATTCCTTTAAAGTATTGCACTACACTGAGAGCTTTTTTCCAAATCTGATGTAGAATCAAAAGGACCTTTTAAATCATTAGATATAATGCCAGTTATGACCAAATCTTAACAGACAATCTAAGACATGAAATCCAATCACAGTAGAAAAAAATCATGTTTCTATTTAAAAATGTACCTTTTAGCAACCTCCTGCTTAGGAGTATGGTTGGGCAAACTAGTGAGGGACATGTAGAAGGCATTCATTTTATCAAGAAAAAAAGTGTTTCATTTTTGATTTGTCAGTTTCAATTTCTTTTTCATTTTTTTCTTTTGTATTAGTTAACCAAAATATAATGATTTTGCAACTGTTGTAGCCAGTTTCTGATTGTTTAGTCAAGTACAATTGCACTTGTACAGATCCACATGTTTACTGGCATCCTGAAAGACCAAATGGTGGACTGTACACGTCTATATAAAATGTCTTTACCCCTTTGGGCAGCAGGCAATGGCAAGGATATTCATAAACACAGCATCACTGTAAGAGGGGACAACTGATGTCTCATATGTATCCCAGCACATGTGATTTTTTAATAGTTTCTGAATAAACACTTGGTAAATATTTCAAATGTAATATCCTGAAGTAATGAGTATCTGAACTTTAAAATTTCTTGCCAAAATAATCTGTTTTTACATTTGATTCTCTTTACTAGCAGTTATGGCTCATCAAAAAGATTTAATGTTTCTAGGCAAAACATAATGTGTTCTCTGTTTTCAAAATATGACGTGGTAATTACCAGCATATGTAACATGGGTCAGAAAGCAACACAGGTGATTCAACAATATATTGAATAGGATAGCTCACATTTTGTCTCCTTACTGAAGCGTTTAATATATGGAACAGGGTAAGTCATATTTCACATGTGGGGTTTTTTTCCTTCATTAGGTTATTAGATTTTATATTGTTTGCAGAGTTGTTCACTAGTAAATCTTTTATTGCAAAAGGGCTCTGTTATATTCTGCTTTTCTTACCCATGTACAATCTGTCACTTTCTGCAAAAACAAAGCTGGTATATAACTGGTCTGTTTGAATTCAAGATAAATGTTTTCTTGGCATGTGTTCTTCTCTCTATGCCACCCACATTGAGCAAAAGCAAAAAAAAAAAAAAAACCCAACAAAAAACAAACCAACCAGCAAGCATGACTGTATTTAGCTTGGACAGTTTAGTACGTGGAGTGCTATTTCAGTTTGAAATGCAGAGATGAGGAGTGTTCTTCTGTCACAAGAGACACAACACATGGCTATTCTGTTCACTACTCGCCATCTCCTGCAGACTTCTATTGACACTACTGAGAGATGTGTGTGTTATTGCCTGAGGTGCAGTTTTGGAGCCCTAATTTTCAATTACTGCCTTTATAACCATTGCTGAAACCAGTGGTCTGGTTCTCCCATTTAAACTCAGTAGAGGTACACTGTTGTTAAATGGGTATAAGTAAGAAAATTTTCAGCCTTGCTGACTGTGTCAGAGAGAAGTTAGCTTAGTAGGGATTGAATGAGAAGTTCCTGCAAACTTTGTCTGTTCATATGCATATATATCTTTTCTGTGAGATTCTAAATTCATAAACATGAGTTTGTATAGGTGTCAATACAAACATAGGATTAGGTCCTTAATGTGAAAGGTACATTTTGCATGGCATGCTGCCACAAAGAGGCAGCATCCACAAATGAGTAAATGAGCAGGAATTGCCTTGGATTTGTGATAGTTGAAAGAAATGTCTTGGCTTTCTGTTTATGCTTACATTCTGATGTTGCCATTTCTGAGGTTAGTATTACTGCTGCTTCCATGTGTTCCACATGCGTTTAATATTTGGTAATGAAGAATTTTTCTAATGGTCTACACTACAATCAGAACAATGAATTTAAATCTTTTCAGCTTCCTGTCTTCAGTAGAAAGAAAATATTATTGCTTCCGTTACTGTAGAGAGAACTTAAATTACATCAGTTACTGACAGAGAGTGCATTCCTGAAGATAAACCCTTGGAAAAGGATACAGAGTGAAAAATAATATTCTTTAGTCTGTTAACATCCTGAAGCGTATCTGAAAGGGCTATTTGTGAATGAGGACTTCAATGGAAGTAGAAATTCCCATGCAGTGGCTACAAGGATATATCCTCTTTGTATAAATATTGTAAGGAAGAGTAGACATAGGTAATAGGAATAGACATAGACAAAGGGAGACATGCCTCTGATTTGAAAATAGGATAATTTGTTTGAAGAAAAAATGTTTATGTAGGAGTATGACCTTTGTTTTGTTAGCAAGATCAGTGAAACCTTCTGCATGATGATCTGCTGAGTTAGTGCTGACCAAAGGAGTAATACTGCAGGACAAAAAAATCGACACTATTTTGAGAATTCTGTATATTATTTTAGGTTGGTTAGGTTGGTAATTAAAGTGGTTTAGATTGGTAATTAAAGTGACTTTCCCCCTCTTTATTTTTGTGTCCTGTGACAAGTAATATTGAGTGTGCTGAATCACTCATGGCCTCACATTTTATTTCCAAAGTGCATGAAATTCTGTGATAAAAGAACAAAAAAAGGTGGAAGAGAATCCTGTTTTCTCAGTGTAATTACTGGAAAAAACCCATACATTCTTACCAGGTAAAAGAAATATTTTTTACTTTTTTTTCCCATATCAAGCCAATTCAGTGTCTTAAATACAAAAGGTGAGTTTCCTCTTTCCTCTTCCTCTTCCTTTGCCTTAGTTCTTCCTTTCCCTTTCCTCTTCCTTTCCCTTTCCTCTTCCTTTCCCTTTCCTCTTCCTTTCCTTTTCCCTTTCCCAAAGCTTCCCAAACCTTCCCTTCCTTCTTCCCCTTTCCCCTCCCTTCCCTCTTCCTCTTTACCCTTCCTCTTTTGCTTTCCCCTTTCTTCTTCCCTTTTTCCCTTCCCCTTTCCCCCTTCCCTTTCCCCTTTCCCATTTCCTCTTCCCTTTCCCCTTCCCCTTCCTCATCCCCTTTCCCTCCCATCCCTCCCCTCTCTTCTCCTTCAACTACTTAATCCCAGAAGATATACCCTATAATTCATAGGCATTCTTACACACTTCTTGAAACACCAGATGTTATGTATCAATTAAAAGTCTGACATAAATGGATCTTCCACTTCTATGGTTCTAAGCCCCAAATTTTTACAATTTTTTTAATATCTACCTTCTACTCTTTTAATGGTCACTTAATGTTGTGAAAAAATGTTCAATTGATTCTGTATACTGCAGTATTTAGTTTCTGAATGTTTTCCTGTGTTTTAGTTTTTATAAAGCATATATCTTAAGAGCATTCTTTTTAGGAAACAGATACAGTGGTACTTTTATCACATAATAAGTTAATTATTAAAGTAATATGAAAAATGGTAAAATATCATAAAAAAGAACTTATGACCCATGGTAAACACATTTCAGAAGATATGTATGGAAAGGCAAGAATAGCTAATTGTAGTTGTTGGAAAATATGAAGACAAGATCCTGATTCTGTACGTTCTGTAGACCTGTGTTTAGCTGGAGCTAAAATGTCTGACCAGCATGTTGTTTCTTACAGAAACTTGAGTCTGTTTAATGCATATGGTTCCCTCTCAGGGGGCAGAGTCCATTAAAGCACTATATCCTGAAGGACAGGGTAAACAAGAGCTCCTTCATTTTTAGAGGGCAGGTTCTTTATATTGCTCAGTGTCTCCAGGGAACCTGAATAGCCTTTCATTTGGTTAAAGACTGGCATACTGAAATGCAGCATCTCCAAACCAGAGAAGGAGGCTGAAATTTTTTGCTGTCTTATGCAGAACTGAGAACACGACTGATACTACTGGTATTAAACAAGAAAAATGGGGAGAGAAGGGAGAGTGAATGGCAGACACAATTTCATAGCTGTCAACCTTCAAACAGTCTCCGCATTTCTATTGATTATTTCATTGTAGGGAACTTGTACCTCCTTTCTGCAGCATCCACTTAACTCTGGAAAATGTAGAACCTCAAGCTAAGTAGTGACATGAGGATGGAGGAGTAGATGAATGAGGTGTTTCTGTGAGAGAAGAGGGCAGGATAGCAGCCTTCTGAATGGGGCAGCCATATTATTTGTTTTTCCCAACCTTTCTGAGAAGCTTTGCAATGTGCTCTAATGAAATGAAGGCACATAGATCTCCTTCCAGTTCATCAATACTGCCTTGCAGATTTGTGTTTATCCATCTGTGTGTAAATACTATCCTAATATCACAAGTCTTTACAGTGTTTTTTTTTCCCTGTTCATTATTCAGCTACGTTTCAGAGTAGCTAGCAGTATGATGATACTCCAGAAATGCTAAGCACAGTTATGCTTTAGAGTAATTGTTTATTCTTAAAACACTGAACAGAACAGAGTTAGGACACAAAAAAAGAGGCACATTTAGGTACTAGGAACAAGAGGCAGTTAACTGAATAGTCAAAGAAGTAAAGTGTAATGAAGTTTGTAATTAAATGGCTATCAAATTAACTATTTAACTTACAGCTAATAGGCCACATTTTGCTTCTTGTTGTGTAAGTATAAAACTGGATTCCATTGACTTAAGGAAGTTACAAAACATTTACCTTGCTCTTATGAGTTTGGCTTTTTGTCATTGAAATAAGCCATTCTCTTAGTATTTCTCTTTTGTAAAGTGAAAAATTTGAATACAGTAATGATAAACATTTTGTAGTTCTGCTACGTATTCAAAAAATTAATCATGTCTATTTCCAATCTGCTGACAAATTAACTGAACATTGCTGTAGTATAGCACTGTAAAATTTGTCTTGGACCCATATTGTCCTGATTATATGGGAAGTCCATATAATCGACATGTATAGATATGGTTCTTCAGAATGATGGACTTTATGAACAGACAGTATACCTCTATTTATTTCTGTGGACTTGGTCCTAAACCCTTGAATTAGATTAAATACCAATTAATAAAAATTATAACCTTTGTGGTGTTTTTGCCATGGAAGATGCAACTACTTTTACTGCAATTTTTGCAGTCTTATGTTTACAGTATTTTTAAATTTTACAGTAAACTATACACCATGTCAAACATAAATGATTTTTTCTGGTTGGATACGTGATTACTGTTGTATATCATGACATGGTTCTGGGTGACCTTTGGAAAAGGTCTAGAGTGGGATAAGATAAAAGGTTGAAATAATACTTGTCTAGTTCAGTATTTCATGTAATAAAACATTTTCTTCTCATGATTTCAACAGTATATCTGATTATGTGAACATTAGGTTATTGAAACCTTATGGTAATTTTGTACCAATACTGTGGCAAAATGTTTTTATTTGAGGAAGGGGTCAAACAATTAGATTGCTTTTGTGACAGACATCATATCAACTTTATTCAGAAATGCTTAGAGTAAAAGTACTAAATTAGATTCTTAAAATAAAACTTGGGAGGTGACAATGTGGTACAGTTTTTGAATTTCTTAAAAGAGTGTTTAATTACCAAGTAGATTATTATTTTAACCATCTGTAATTTTTTACCATCTGTATTTTAAAAAAGAATTATGTATTTGTGTGTGTATATGTGTGGAACTGTATGTGTACATATATATAAGTATGCAAATATATATGTATGCATACACTTTATCTATATTTCTTTAATTAACATTGTCTTTACTGTGATGTAAGAATATTTCCATGTGAGTTTTGAAAGCATTTAGGTTTGTAATGAAACAAAAGTTCTTCATATAGCACATGTAGTTTATAAATGTTATATCCACAGTCACCAGAAAGTCAGTCTAGTCCTACAACATTTCAACTTTAATAGTATAGTAATATAAATTTGGGGTTGGAGTTGCTAGGAGCAGAAGTTCAGCTTAAATGCAGTTTGCAACTAGCTGAATATGCATTGGGGGACATTAATATACCTGTATTTTAAGCCTCTACCTTCTACATTTCATGTACTATCACGTGACCAAACTGGCCTGAACTTAACTTTGCTGTAACTTCATTCCCGTAGCAATTATTTTGTCCAGTCAAATGGATAAATAGACACGTACCAAATGTATTTATGAGTATGACAACAGTTCTTACAAAGGTCTGACTATCAGATATCTGAATTTAGTTTTAAAATTCTGAATTCATAACTGCGTTTAATATGCAGTCATTACTACGTGACAAAGATTTGTTCTCTTTCTAAATGCTGAACTTAGGTGGACTGATCAGGTTTTTAGTTTCAGCTATAATAAAGCTGGTAGTCCCGATGGTGGTTGCTTTCTGCTTAAAATTAAAGCAGTGTTGTTCACAGCATTGGTACTCTTCAGCCACGATACAATTTTATAATTGTAATTTTTTTAAAATATGGAAAATTAAACATTTTAAAAGCATTTTCAGGCTGGCAGTTTGCTAAGATGAATCGCATCTATCATTAATTTTGTCTAAAATTTATTAATAATCCAATTAAAAATAGTTTTGACATAATTTTTTTAAGTCATTCATACAAGTCTTTATAAATGATGTAATTATGTGGTTGCATGAGTTTATGTGTAGATACATACAGTACTGCACATTCAGTTAGGTGGTTATTTGGTTACTTATAGCAAACCCAAAAGTATAGGTTACAATATGCTTCACATTAAGCTCAAAATTCAAGAATATGTCCATTTTTCTGTTTGCAAATTTATAAGAAATGCCTACATTGACATCAAAGAAATTGAACCACATACGTTCAAAGAATTAATATTCTGCTGAATCATTTATTCTTAAATATAAATATCTTCCTTTAGTGATGATGAAAAGTGCATCAAAGGAAAAATTGGCTAATCAGTGTATTTGATGTTTTTGAAGTGAATGAAAATCCTGCAATTGATTTTGTTTTTTTGAAAGTATAGAATGTCTTTACACTTTATATTTTTTTCTCTTCCTGTTGGAGACTGTTTATTAGCATAAGGAAAATCCCTGCTGCAGAGGTGTTTCAAATCTCAAATGGCAATAACATGTCTATTGGTTACAGCTTTGGCTGTTTCTTAAGGTTGTTTTATTTTTTCAGTGATTAAATTATGCTTGGTCTTTTAAGGGTGGATATTTTTGTTTATTCCATCCAAACATAGCATGCAATGTAGTCAATACTGGTCATGGAAATGATTTAAAAACACTACATATTGATGGCTTCTTAAAGTTTATAACATTAATGTTTAAAAACATTCTAACTCTTTGAAATGGAGTTAACAGTGACACATTTTCTGTTTTAATTTTCTATTTCCTTGTCATTCTTCTTTTCCTACACATTACTGAATCATACTGCCTGCCTTTGCTTTGAAGGCTGCTTTTTATTTTATTTTGAGTACAGAGCAGGGATCTAAGCTATTGTTCTTCAATGTGTTTATTTCTGTTAAAGAAAAATATTGTAGTCTTTTAGATAGCTCTTGATTTTCTGAGCAGAATCACATGGTGTACATCTCTCCCCTCCATCTTTCTCCATTCTTTCACTGTGAGGCAGTGAAGAGGTATGTTTGATTTTGTAGCTCTGATAGCTGATGTAAAACCTTAAGTAAAATCCTCATCAATGTCAAAGGGAATTATGTTTTAGGTAGGGATTTTTTAAAAAGTTCTGTCTATAACATCATTCATGTAAACTTGTAACACAAATACCTACTCACATAAACATGCAATTATATATATGTGAGTCTGGAGCACCACACAGTAAAAAATTTTATTTTTTAGTGGATAATTTTTTTAAATGAACCTTGTCTTAAAAAGAGGAACTGTCTTATAATTAGGTAGTGCTTATATAATGAAGCTTTTCATCATAGTAATTTGAATGGTAAAATGAACTCATTATTGACAATTTCTGATCAGGTTTGAAGTGGTCGGTTTTTTTCCTTTTTGGCATGACTGGTAATAGCTACCAGCAAATAAGTGGCAACATACCATAATATGTTGAACAGTAGGATCTGTTAGGTTTATTGTGCAATAAATTACTCAAATTGTAGAAGTCTACTAATGCGTATTGTACTAACTGGTATGTTAATTCTTCCTTAAGAATACTTTTTTCTAAAGAATAAGAAGCTGCTACTCTTTTGAGAAAAGTTTTTATATAAATACAAACAGTGGTTAAGATAATGGTTCTAAATTCACCAATTTTTAGAAATATGATTGAATGTATTTATGATGGTTAATATTTTTTCATCCATACATAATTTTACGATGAATGTGTTCAATAATTTTCGGTATATTTTATATACTGAATACTGACTGTAATTAAATATTTCTTAGGAGCTGTTGAATTACTAAAAGTTTTGTTAGATTTGGTTAGGATCAGAACTATAATTGTGGAAAAAAAAAAACCCGTCTCATCAATTTGTCTTCATGCTAATTATCTTGTGAAAAATTGTCCAAAGAACTCAGATTTAATTTTTTTATGTCAAAATGTGTATTAATTTTACCTCACACTCTGTTTAAATGTTTGAGAATTACTAACTGCTCTATATAATCATCTATGGTGAAATAACAAAAATTCCCAGCTTTGGCCTGATGAATACTATGTAATTTCAATTTACAGTTACATAGTGAAACTGTTTTCCTTTATGTTTGTCTTATACTTAAGTACCCTTACCTGCAGCTTTGTGTGTTGATGTAAGGCCTCACAGATGTTCATTTAGTTATTAAAACTCAATATTATTTTACAACCCTAAGAGAAAGACAATTTAACACAACCAGGAAGACAAAATTTCCAAGGTAGATTTTGGTTCTCTGACTACTTCCACATGTGGATAATTTGATTGATCAGAGTAGTCTTCACCAGGTTCAGTCAGAATTTTTTGTGTAATGTAGCTTTATGTATGAAGTTTGAATTTACATATATGTCTAACACATACAGGCTTACTTCAATCCTTAGTCTGAGTTCTGATTTGTCAGATGGAGAAAGGTGTGTTTCTGAACATATTAGGATAATGTTACTGTTACCAAAGTATTTTCTTTGTCTTGAAAGAGTATTTTTTGATATTAATCATGTAGACCATATACAATTAGGTGTGTGTATCAGAGAGCATTTTGATATATTCAGAAACACCTGAGGACCTTGAAATCTAAAACTGGTTCAGTTTCTGAAATGCTTCATTTTTGTTTCCTATATATTGTTTTCAGTCAAAGGTTGCTGGCTTGAAAAGGTTACTCCTCATAGTGTTTAAGCTGAGTGGCAGAAAGGTACCGCTACGGTTAAATTAATATTTTTATTTATTCAGAGTTTGGAACTGTAAAGCCATATATAGAATATCAGTTCTTATAGGTTCTGAATGTCTTCATTTTGTCTTGTCTTCTAAAACAAGGCTTAGGCTGTTTTTTTTTTTTTTTTATTAGAATAGGTATTGCAGGATTTGAATTAAATATAAAGATGGTAAATAACTGTCATTCAAACTCTTCAATAAGAATTGTTGTTTTTATTGTTGTTTTTCTTCTCAAGCTCAGAAAAATCAGGTCGTGTTTATTTTTGGGACTCACAGGGTTTTTAGGAGGTGAGTGAACAATTGCTAAGAGGCCTTTCCCCTCTCTATGTTACAGCAAGTTAAATGACCACAGTGATTAAATTGGAGCCCTTTTTAGTGAATTCATATTTGGGAATATGGTCAATATATTTATTTCTGCATTTTAATACCAAAAAGATTAACATCGTCAAAATTGTTTATTAATACTGAGAAGGAGTTAGTTATTCTCAGGGCAGAGACTCTGAAAGCAAATGTTCTTGTTACCAGAAGTTAAATCAATGATTTTAATTTAACTGTCCAGATGAAGAGATGCAAAAGTAAAAGTATACAGAACATAGAGTATTTAATACTTAGAATATTACTAAATTTTAAATTTGTAAGCATCCCTTTCAGATATGTACAGCCTTTCATCCCTTCTTAGGAGATTCTTAAAGGATGTTTTAGCTATAATTAGGGCAGCACAGTCAGAAGAGAGGTAGGTATTTTAATCTATCTTATTTTATATAATCGTAGAAAAAATTCATTTTGGTTGGCTTTTTTTTAGTTTTTTCATTACACAGGCATCAAAATTCTTCGTGTTGAATTTGGAAATTATGATGTCACAAAATGTCTCAGAGCCTGGGCAAATAATAATTCATTAGCAGCATTAAAATTGCTACAGCAAACTGAAATTTGAAATTAAGATACAATGTTCTGTGACCATGGGAGATATTTGTGAGCGTGCTTTGTTGACAACTAATTGATAATTATGGTGTGTATTCTTCTAACACCTTTCTTCCCAAAGGATCCTAAAGTGCCTTACAAAATTAGGGCCTGTTCCTACCCTGATTGAAGTCAATGGGAGCACTGCCAATGGGAACAGCACTGGGCACTTAAGAAGCTAATAAAAGCTGCATTCAAACATTACTTCTGCCACTGAAATGTGAAACTGTTCAACTTACACAGCAATACTCCCAGTGGTTTGAGACAGGAAGTGAATATTATCATATACAGCTTTCAAATTTTAAAAAGGAAGTATGATTTTAGAGGGGTACATGGTACAAATTAATACTAGTGTTAATATCACAGGCTTTGTTAAAATTTCTTTGAGTCTTCATCCAAACATGTTATTTGTATTTTTTCAGAAGACTTGAACATTAGTTCCAGCAGATGTAATGAATGATACCTTTTTCATTATTCATATGTTGTATACACATATTTTGGAGATCAGATTTGCGTGGGCTTGGTACAATAATTAAAATAATTTCAGAAAAATATAAGATGGAAATACTAGAAATCTTCTATATTAATTGTATCTTTCTACTGATCAGTTTTTAATGTCTACTGGAGAAAGCCTAATATTACAATCAGTATTTTGCGTATATTTCCCTATTTGTTCACTTTACATATTGAGCTGATTGCTGTGATATGTGAAGGACAGGATTTGATGATTGTATATTTGAAATGTGAGTTGAAAACAAGCATTATACCATGTAATCTGATATTTTTCTTTATTTTTTAATACGGAGGCCTTTCATATAAAAATTTTGCCAGCTACAAAAACACTAAGCAGCATGCATAGATGCAAACAAAACAAAACAAAACCACAAAACCAAAAACTAATTCAGATATTTGTTTCTCACTCTGCATTTTTTACTCAACCATTTATACTGGTGAATGAGGAAATAAATTATTTAGCATTTAAAAACTATTACAATTTAACAAGTGAAAGAGGAAAACTTAGCTGTTGGACTGTTTTGTTTGTCTCTAGGTAGATACTTTAAGATGGGACTGAAAAATAAGCAGCTCCAAGAATAACTAACCATCACAACAAGCTGTCTAGTTGAATATGTGGCAACTGAAGTCTTTGAATCAGATGAATATACATGCTGTATATTCAAAAAGAAGTTTTGAGATTATAGGGATAAATAAATTCAACAGTAGTCTTACTGAATCTCATTGAACAAATATTTACTAAATCTGCTGGCAAAATCGCAGAAAAAAAACCCCAACAAAAACAACAACAAAAGAACCACCCCAAAACCAAACTGAAAAACAGATGTAATGCAATTTTTTTACTAATACTCTCCTTTTTGTACAGTACACGGATAAAATATTTACAGTGTAATTGAATAACCTGGGTCATCCATGGACAGAAGGTAGTTCATAAAAGGGGTTTTCAGAGAAATAACAGCATTTGTATGCATCTGTTACATAGATGTGACTTTCAAGTAGTTTTGAATATGGAGAGGAAGGCACTCGGAACTTAATTGTTCAGTAGATCTAAATGTCTTCATCTACTAGAAACACAGTATTTTACAACCTTTTCTAACAATAAGAACCTTGAAATATACAAATTACTAAATCTATGCTGAGTGAACAAGCGCCATGTTTTCTTACGTTTCTGGCTAGAAAACTCACATCTTCTCCAATAAGAATTTAACAGAAGTAAAAATAATTCAACATAGATATTCCAGAAAGATACAGGCTGATACGGACAACAATCACTGAAGTTAACAGCCAATTCTTTCCATTTTTTTTCATGTGTGTTTTCTGTAAAAGTATTACATTCTTAATACTTTTAAAAAAGTCATTATTATGTCATAAACATAGGTTATAATAAAATATATTGAGGTTGATATTGCACTGTCTCTTTTAGGCCTGCACAGGCAAAAGCAAGAAAAGAGTAATTATGCATGTGCTGATGACAGGCCAGGAGGAATTTAGCACTTCAGTCAAAAAAATAGGATTAGATTTTATCCTAAGGATAGGATTAGTGTGTGATCTCATGGTCACTTAATAGGTTTCCTGTTAGATCTTCCCTAAAGCCTTTTTTTACAGTCCTTAGCCAGGCAAAACACCAAAAGAAATCAGTACACTTTTGCTTGGCAAAGAAGTTTTCAATTCTACTTTAGACTTCAAATTATTTAATACATACATATAATAAATAAAGGGCTAAATGACAGTTATTAAAAAAAAAAAAAAAAAAGAAAAAGATGAAGTTTCATGCCTTTAAGTATCTGGGCCTAAATGACTAATGCAATACAAACATCACATATCCATCTTATATTAGAAATAAATGAGCTACTGTCCAATTCTACATTCTTTACTGATTTCCATTTTACTTAGCAAAGCATTGTAGGATCTGACCTTTACAATTTTTTGTAATGTATTTCTTCAATAACAAATATTGTGTAAGACTTTATTGTGTGCTACAATACTTTTCATTAAACATCTTTTTATTGGCGTATCTGTAACCATTACAGGAAACATCAACTTTGTATTATAAAGTGATGTAAAAATAGCACTTTTTTTTTTCCTTTTTATGTGGACATGCTCAATATAAAAATCAACTCACATCATTTTTCAAGGAAGTACTACTTGTCAAATGTTTTTTTAGAATTTTTAAAATAAAAACCTCCCTGACAAAACTTTTCCTAAAATAAAAAGAAAACCATTCAACTTATTTAATTTTATGTTGAACTAAAACCTTTGTCAAAAGTCACAAAATTTAGATGTGTCTCTCCAATTTTGAAAAAAAACAACCCCAACAAAACCTGTCAGTAAACAATTGGTGACCTGAACTTTAGAAACAGCTGAGTGTTATCTTACAGAATGTACTGCTTTATATTCTTCAGTTTAATTAATATACCATAGTAATTAAGAGTATAAAATAGAGATTTTCGTACACAGTCACCTCATAATTGCAAGCTATAACAATGATTTTTTACCAATGCATTATATTGTTTAGGCTTCAAAATAATTTATATAATTAATAAGGAAATAATCCTTTAATATTTGTTTTATTTGGTCTTTAAAAAGCC